TCTACTTCCCTATTCTTCCATTACCATCGTTTATATAACTATTAATTATTTGAGGTCTCCAGTGGGAGTACCTCTCGCTCTCCTGTTTTTGTCTTAGTGCTACGTGTTAAGATGCAACTCTATTCATTCTTATAAAGCGCCTGCCTCGGTATATAAGAAAACGTAAAATTAAAATTAAAATAAAAAACGACATACGAACGGCGATTGGCTAAACCTCCCCGTTTCCTTAGCACGAACCATAAAACAAGAAAACGTACAGCATTCGGGCTTCGTCGGTCCAGCATACCTTGCGGCGCGCTCGCCCGAGCAGCTTAGTCCAGAAAGTGTTAATTCTCAGAGAATAATTTAATCCGCCTGTAATCCACAGAGTATGCAACCTGTCAGGCACTCGCGTATTAATCTCTGGAGGCTGCGTTACCCCTGCTGGCACTTATTTCTCCAGATAAAGTGCTGTACGTTCTACCAAACTTCTTTGTGCTCGACGTTTACTAGACAAGTGAAGATGCTGACAGTGGTCTCCTAGTATCACCCAATATCAGCAACTTTTGCAATGACATAATCTTTCTTTGATCCCCCAACTCAAAATAAATAAATGAAGAGGATTGAGCGTCGTAGCAGATGAGCGCTTCTGTCACGCATTGGTGTCACCATACATCAAAATTTCTCATTATATAGTCCAGTCACCTACGTCCTCCTGTAGTTCAGTCCGATAAAAAGTCCCGGTCCAGGAAAAAAATCCGAAATGTTTTTATGTTTCTTGGCCTACTGAATTCGAATTTCATGTTTGCCACCTCGAAAAGCTTCTGTTTTTCATATAAAACTACAAAAAGCCATGAAAAATGTCGCACTTTTATCCGTTTTTCACTTACTGTATATCTCCAAAACTATTCATTTTATCGTATCAGTCACAATGTGTTACCCCAAAACTACTCATATTTTCAAAAAAATTGAACGTGACCTTATCCACTTCCTCGATATCAGGGGGCCCAAAACCGTGTATTTCCGTTGAAATCTCGAGATGGATATTCTCTTCATTATTTTAGTAGTAGAAAGATGGCGAAAAATTTTATTTTTTTAAATAAATTATAAACAGAATTTTCTAGAACATCGAAATTCAAGGAAAACAACGAAAATGTGACTTATACCATTTTTAACGCGTCATTAGCTCTATCAGGGGAAAATATGTAAAGAAGATATTGGGAGCCATTTTTGAGAAAACTTTTAAGTGTTGCTGTGACTTTGTGTAAAGTATCTCCAAAAATAAAAATATCCGTTTCAATTTTAAGGTTCCACTATGTCAGTCAGATCGATCGATTAGTTTCAGACAGGCGTTTTGCTGTCAATCGATTTTTCGGTATCAAGGACCCACCAAATGTGGATTCTGACTTTACAACGTGTTTTTTTAAGTAATTCACTACACAAGATTTATCCATTTTTCGTTACAGGGCCCGGCAATAAGGGTGTTTCCCGCCGCATTAAACACTACTTCGTACACTGCGTAAGCTGTAGGCGAGAAAGCAACTAGTGGTACTTCGAAATGACACAGACTATCCCGGACTATGTTAGTTGTCTAAATTCTTTCATCTGGGCTACCTTTTAGGTTTGGCCCCACCCTTTTCCCTGCTGCCATCTATTGCCGCTCAAAGAAATTTTTTTCACATTTTCTCAATTTCTCAGACCCCTAATGTACAACTGAAATGTCTCAGAATATTATTGAAGAGTATTACATCCTATTATGTCCAGCAAAATAGTTTATTATTCACTTCTTCCAAGCCAAATTCCAAATCGTACCAATACAATTCTCACAACTGGTTATACCAGAAGATATCCAACAAAACAAGCATTGTCGTCGCTAGGAGATTTACTTGTACAATCCAAAGTAACCAATACCCAATTAGAACCAACAATATAACGAGACACGATCAGCGTAGGCACAACCACAATAATATACATAATAATCTATCTCAATACAGTAACTTGTGTCTCAAGAGAACTACATGCGGAGCCATGAACGGTACAAAGACAGCCGAGCGGAGTCGAAAAATGATTTTTACACTTGTTTTTACAATGATTGATTCACGCCAAATGGTTTCATGTTAACGCAGGGACCGAAGGCCCGAGCCTCGTCCTTATCTTTGACACGCGTAGGGAAGTGACACAACTTCTGACTCAAGGAAGAAAGTTCTGATTTAGAGCACGAAAATTACTAAATTTTTCAAAAAAATGTACACTGTGGTAATTAAGGATCTATTACGGAGAACAAATTTCATTTGAAGAAAAACGCTATCGCTAATACTGTAGTTGTATGAACCCGAAAATATTCAAAATTTCGTAGTTTTCGAAAATTCAGAGTTTACGTAGAAATGGGACCTATGCCATGTTTATAAATTTATTACGCTCCATTCTTACGACAATTTTAAAGAAAAAAATTGGAGCCATTTTTGAGAAAATTTTGCAAATATCCAAGGGACTTAATGTTAAGTACCCCCAAATATAAAAGAACGTTTTCCAAAATCGCAGAACATCGAGTCGGGCCACATCGACCAAGGAATATGTATTTTGGAAAAAAACCTTCGTTTTAGGCACTATTATTCTTCACGGATAGACAGGCGGAGGGACAGACAGACGGACGAATATTGTGAAAAAAAAAAACTTTCTCGATATCAGGGGACCCAAAACCGTGTATTTGAAATCTCTAAATCGATTTTCAGCAGCATTACGTAACTTTCTCTATACTCCGTATGTGCGTACGTATACAAGAGAGAAACTAGTGGTGCTACAGAAAGGGACAGATATTCTCATAGAGGTGTGATGAGAACTCTTTAGACTCTTCAATTGCACATTTCAAACACACATTCGTCATTACAAGTACAATAATACTAATAAATCGGCCGTAGCTCCCCACGCATGTAAAACTGGTCACGCCATTCTTTATGATAACATTCGCATTCTAACCGGAGAACTCTGGACCGAGGATATAAAAGAGACTAAAATTTCTAAAATATCCCCCAAACCTCAATGCCGACCAAGGCCTGCATATCCACGAGTCCTGGAATCATCCATTTCACCACGACGGCCAGTCGCCTCAGGGCGCAGTCCCCTCTACTTTATGACGCTCGACCGCGGTCGGAATTCATCCTTCCATTTCGGCGAGGGAGGGGGCGTTCCCTGATTGCCCGATGCTCTTTCTGCATTGGCCGACCACCGGGCTAACGGGAGGAAGGGGACCTAACCCTACATTAACTCGTGCACTGGCCAGACTATTCATTCTGTGGAATAGAAGGTGAACTAGTGGTGCTGCAGAATGTCACAGACGTTATTGCACTAGCAAGTTTTCTATTTTCTTTGGTCTGGGCTAGCTTCTCGAACTTCCCACATACTCTAGCCAGCTGCCACCCAAAGTATTTTTTTGAAATTTTCTCAATTTTTCAGTTTTCTAATAGTAGACTAAATATTACTTTAAGACTATTCCAGAAACGTAAGACCTCATACTTCAAAGAAATTTGTGTTGAAAAGATTAGTCATTTTTGAGAAAATGGCATTTAAGTGGAATCGGAAATTTGAAGCTCTTTTTCACAGAAATTTTTTGAATTTTCAAACAAATTTAATGAAGACACTTTGAAGCACTTCCACTTACAAGCGCAATAATGTATACGAATCACTGGAAATGTGCATATTAAAGGCATATTGGTCCAAGCTACATGACATCTCAAAAATATTACAGTTGTGACATTTCAACATGAGACAGCAAAATGAATTTTATGTCGTCTCAAACACATTGAGCATTTCTGAAAATGCCGAATTTTGAGCTCATTTTCACAGAAATATCAGAGTTTTCGGGAAACTTTATAAGATATAATTTACAGCACATATACTACTGTAATATATCGGTTCCACCATTTCAAAACCGAAAAATTGAAAAAATAAAAAATGATGTACTTGGGCAGCCCAAGATGACAGTCAGCAAGAGATGATGGGGCAAGATTAAAGAGCTAGCTCAGACCAAAAGAAATTAGAAATAAGTATGAGAAATTCTGTGCCACTCTGTAGCACAACTAGTTCAAAATGTCTGTTACTGTTACTGATTTCTGCTAGTTTGTGGAAGTCACATAAAAAATTAATCGTATCACTTTGCTCTTTAAGAAATTGAAACCTTTTCTCAACAGATGAAACTATCTAGTCAATGACATTAAAAAAAATGTATGCAGAAATTGTCTTTTGTACTCTCATGTTCATAAGTGAACATAATTTTCATTTTTCTCCTTTGTGTAGGGGGAAATCCACATATACATTGCACAAATTAGCAACCTCAATTGCAGTGGTTAGCTTTTCATCAAAATTATAGAAATATGCCTCAATGTTCATTTTAAGAAAGCTGAATTTTTGATACATGATGAGATAAGTAAATCAGGGCTTAGCAACAATGATCACCAACAAATATTTTATTCCTAATAAATATTCAGGTATAAATACTGCAATATTTCTAGTTTTTAATTTAAAATATGAACTCAATTTTTTTTCTGTTGTAAAGCAAATATTTGTCAGATTTTTGAAGAAACGAAAGAGTTTTGGGGGTTTATTTAAAACTTCTTCACTTTTTTAAAACTTTTTGCTTGTTCGTTTACGACACACTGCTCCGCTCAATCTTTTCATCACCCATCACTCATTTTCATATACAATAAATATTACACGATGAAAGAAATAAAACCACATACAGAAAAGTTTTTGCAAAAGGATCAATCGAAACTGATTCAAGAAACTGTTTCGACGTTCAAGGGCCTTATTATTTAATGAGTTATAAACAACTGTCGATTATTTAAACAATACTGCCCTTTAAAGCTTTCAATAAGAACTAATTTTTTGCGACCTTGGTTCAATGCACCTCTCAAACCAGGGTCATTCTTTTTTAATGAACTGCTCTTAATGAAACAGTATATGCAACATGCTTACAAAACTTTCACAAGGAGAAAAGGGGGGAAAAAAAGAAAGAAAGAAAGAAAAAATGAATTATAAATGTTTACTTTGAATTTGCATATATAACAATTAAATATACATGTATACACACTTATTTTCTACAGCATATAAATACTAGTCAAAATACATGATCAACATGGCATAGAGCTGAATATCAGCAAAAAGCAAAAAAAAATTACATTTACAACTGGTGCCTCATCACATGTAAGCACTCAGAAAACCTGTTTGTATCTTTCTTTGCAAATGCAATCTTCTCAATTCTTGTAGTTTTTCACTCAGAACACACGTCCTAAATAAACTACATCAACACTGAGACCAGGACTAAGTTCCAAAAATCCCAGTTTGCCATAAAATTCGAGCATGAAGCGATCTTTAGCACTCACAGGGACATACACACCAAATGACCCTGAAACAAATAAAACCAACACTTAAGAAAGATAGTAAGTATTTAGTTTACAAACATTTGTTTCCTCTACACAAATCTATTATGAGCATAGTTTTACAAACTACTACATGAATGGTCAAATAAAGGCAAACAGTATTAAACAATTAATATTATTTCTACTCACACTTTTACCCCAATTATCTTAAATTTATAGATTTTATTGATACCTATTTCATTGTTTATCAAATTTGATCAGTCAAACTTAACTGAGATCAGTTTCTTAAAATTGTTATGGGAACACAAGTGTTCTAATAATTCTTACAACAATTATTAACAATTATAATCAGTTTCACAAAAGTATTATCAGAACACAGGTGATCCTTTTCCAGAACGAATAGACCAACTTTATCGAAAATTATATTACAAGGTTAATGATTCATTCATTACTTCTAATTCAATACTCAACAGGTAATCAAATACGGCCTTGATTAATAATTTTCCAATGTTTTCTTGTAAAATGTCTTCTAAACATAAGAGTATACCTGCAACCTAAGTTAGCTCCTGGGTACTTGATTCGTATTACTAAGGAAAGTGAAATCAAATAAGAAAAGCTTTAAAATACTTGCAAAAGAAAAGAGGAATGTGTGCAGAGAAACTTAAGGCAATAAAATCATAATTAGTGCAAAGGGATTTCATAACCCAAGTATACAGTAATAAGAAAAAAATGTTTACCGTTTGCTCGCAGAGCTGCCAGAAGACAAGTGACCAGTCGTTTTGATATGCTTTGGTCAAGAACACTTGTCAATAGAGAACAACACATGACAGATGGGTGATGACTATGAATTGCATCAGGAACATCTGCTTTGAAGGTGTGAAACCAAGTCATCATTTCCTACAAAAGAGCAAAAGAAATATTTCACTAGAATTCACTATGACTCATTACCAAATGATGAGGGCTACCACCACATACAGGACCATGCCTCTGAGGGGGAAGCCCCTTCTCCACAGACTTAATATGGTTTGCAGTGTGGTTCAGGTCACCAATGAAATCAGTTGCCCAACCCATCGTCGGGAGAGTAAGTGTTTGATCACCCACCAAAAAATCAATACATTATAAGACACTTCACATCAGTGAGAAAGGAAGGCTACAAGAGAAATTAGAGAGTGTCTGCTAACCAGCAACACTATTCACTATTTGATTTGACAGAGGCCAGATACAACTCTCTGCTCAACTCAATTGGAAACATTCACGGGCATGTGCATTGTCTATTATTAAGTAGCACCCCATTAGACAGCGCCCAGGGTCATTCATTGTCCTGATGCCATTTGTGGCCCACAAAAGGTTATTTTAGTCAAAACTGAAAGTGACTTGCATACATGTCTGGCAGGAGCACATGCCCTGCCGGAGACACCATTATGTAAAAGTCAGCCAAGTTTAGATTTAAGATTTTTTTTCTAGTAAATTCAGACATTCAAAATCAACACAATGTGTTTCACTGCATTACGCATGGTACCCCCTAATATCAACAATATGAGGGCGTTAAACGTGGATCAACGAGTAATTAAAATGTGGCCCACCACCATATAAAAGATTTTAATTGCATCCCTTGAGTTGCTTTTAAGAGTGCTGAGTCCATTTGAAATTGGACATCCCTGTTGTAAATACTTTCCGGCATGCCCAATATCAGATGTCAGCTAGGTGGTTATAATACAGTTTGTAGAGATCAATCCTTGCAATAAATCTTGTAATATAAATGCCAGGTTTCAATGCAATTACATTTCAGATAACAACATAAGTAGTGCTTTTAAGGCATACGAGAGGGACTTATTTTTTCCATGTGTAGGCGAGCATGAGAGCATGCGTGTGCAAGCATGAGAACATGTGTGAAGCTTTAGAGCATGAGTATGGGTGTGTGAGCATGAGTATGTGTGTGTGAGCATGAGAGCATGAGTATGTGTGTGTGAGCATGAGAGCATAAGTATGTGTGTGAGCATGAGTATGAGCATGAGTGTGAAGGTGTGAGCATGTGTTAGCTACTGTGTACGTACAACATTATGTATGAGTATATACGTGGACATCTATGTGAGCATATATGCAGTGGGAGAATTAGGATTTTTCTGAAGCTCTTTTAACATCCTTCCTCCTTGGTTTGTTCGTGTTTCACTAGGAAAATGTAAATAAGTTTTCTTATTTATTCTTCCAAACAATGGCGATGAGTTAAGATGAAATTGAAAATCAAAATTGTTTGTCATTTATGTACATTCTGATACTTCATTAATCATGAAATCTTCAAGGACATTTAATCTATTTCCAATCAAAAACACCACATCTATAATACTCTCATACCTCAGAAGCATTGAGGGCATCATTATCATCTTTTTTGGGTTGGGGATACTTTTCACACATATCTGGCAACCAAGCAACTTCCAATTTCTTATAAAACTGTTTTGCATCCAAAGCAGCAACTGCATACCCCACAAGGTCAGTTTCATCTTCTACGATGAAACAAAACTCTGGACTGAGGGTTAAAAATCCTCCTACTAACCTGAAATCAGAAAATTAGTTTGGATTGTTTCTAATAATGTAAAATTATTTCATAGAAACAATCATAATATGAAACTACTGGAAAGATCACTTAAGTGAACAAAGGTAAATAAAGAACAATATTAATCAATATTAAAAATTCGCAGTTTACTTATGAGAACTTCAGTTCCATTCAAATGCAAACTGAATTGATGGTTGGAAATCTACCGACTTAATTACTGTCTGTTCAGAAAAGGAACACAAAAGTGTCTTCTGTAATATTGTATTTTCCCAAATACAAGACAAGTTTATTTTTCTAAAACTCTCAGTGAAAAAATACGCGGTCACTTTAAGTTCTCAGATTAAGCTAGTTGGTTAGATTTTATGTTTTTACATTGCCTTTCCTTGAAAACGATGAAACAATAAGCTGCAAAAACAGTAAAAATATTGCACGTATATATAATATTATATTAGCAGTCATATCCTCAGCATTCAGCATGATGATTATGCCAAACAACTCCCCCCTAAAGTAAAATGTGAGTGAAGCTCATAATAATGTATTCGACATTTTAAAATCACCAACCAGCCAAATACTTGGCATAATCGTCTTCTCTCAGATAATGCTGAAAATGTCAATCTTTCATAAGAAGGAAAAAGTTTACAAACAGAAGGTTCGTCATTTCCAAGTACCTTTGCTAGCGAGCTAGCTAGATGATGCCTTCAGCGGCTACCTCCTACCTTAGAACTGTGCAGGAGAGCATGCTTCACTGTAAGATCAGCCTCGCACCTATCGCAAGTAGGGGGTGAGTCACCGTAGAGAGGTCCATGGGAGAAATGGCAGCGACTGATCCAAAGGCATGTCAGAATATTTTACTCCCAGAGCCACAACACGAGAAAGACCAAGGCATTATGGAATACTTGATTCTCTAGAGTTTAAAATCTAATTTCCGCCACTCTGATGCCATGCACAGAGAACAGAGTTGATTAAACAGCTTGGTATCAATTGTTGGGACTGTGAGGATGACAATCTCAATTTTTGTCATGAGTTTTGTTACCCGGTCAGCAATTTCGTTCCCTATTATCCTAACATGGCCAGGGATCTAACAAAAAACCAAATTATAACAACGCACCAATAAATGATGGATTTGGTGCTGGATGATCATTGTAAGAGGGTCACAAGAAGAGAAGCAGGAGATAGATTTGAGCGGGCTTTTTGAATTTGAAGATAGGACACATGATGGTTGTATATAGGAGCAAAAGACATACTCGGTCTGCGCCCCATGATACACCAGGAAGGGTACAAAGGAGGTTCGATGGTGATACACATCGGTTCTTCAAGTTTAGAATATGCTTTCGAAACCAGAGATGTAGAAGTTCACATACCTACATACCTCAACTCTATCACACAAACAAAAAATGCTCATTTCAAGTATATTCTTTTAAAGAATCTGAAAGAACTATTAAAGAATTAAGAGTCCATCAACGAGTGTGGAACAGACAGAAAATCTGTTTACACAGAAGGTAATATTCTTAGTTTCCGTCAGATGAATGACTCGGGCGTCAGAAAAAAATGATGCACGTGAAGAAGATTAGGGTAGTAACTAAAACCAGGATTATGATGATTTTAAAGAGCAAGAAACTGATAATTCAAGCAATACATCTTAATATTTTTATAAAGGCAATTTTCTAGTCAAAGTCAATATGCAATTTTAATTTGACTAAATAGCAAGAATTAGTTAAAAATTTAAAAAATTCTCAGGAGACATCTTCAAAATTAGCAAAACGTCTTGTATTTGAGTAAGTACGGTATTTTATTGACAATTTTAAAAGGCAATTTATTTTTCTCTTCTTTAGCAATTAGTTGCCTTTCAAACATATTGTATTTTTCTAGTTGCATTTTATACTCATCTTATCTAATGACTAATTACTTACTTGTCTCCAATGAGATTCGGTAAATCAGGAAAGGAATCAGTGCCATCCATTCCATCCAAACATGTCTTTCTACACACTTCATATACTTGAGTCTCATCTGACGGTAAATAAGGACGAATAGTATAAATTTTACTGCTTGGCACATCTGGTGGTTTATAGATAAACAAATCATTGCCTGAATCTACAGGGATTAAGCGCTATGGAACAGAAACAGATAGTTTGTGAGATACAGGATATTTCTTAACTATGTAATAGTACATAACCATATTCTATGGCTAACTTGTTATCAGCTGGTAACAATAATTTACACATACTTGGAGATCAGCAGTAAGGCCACCTCTAAAAACCCAAGGTTCTTGATCTCCACTCATAAATGTTTCTTTCCAACCTTTTGAAAACCCTATGTTTTGCAAAGGACAAACAAATTTATAGTATTATTAGCACACAACACAACCACATGAACAAACACTGAAATATAATAATACAATATGGGAAAATAATAGAAGTTGTTTGAAAGCAGTGTATGAAAGCTTGTATTTGTAACTACAAATATATTTCAGATTTAAAAAACAATTATAATCACCTACATATAGCAAACACATCCTATTTTACTCCATAAATCTAAAAATATAGATCTCAAAAACAAAACAGGAATATAAATAAAGCTAACAGATAGACTAGAGAGCAGGTCATATGAAGAAGAAACAGATGTAGGGGGAATTGAATTCAACAACTATTAAAATTGTAGACCTAACATTCACATTCTTAGGCACTGGAAGTAATTTAGGAAATGATCAAACATTTACTCCAGTTTCTACAAAGCAAGCTCATACAGAAGAAGGTGATTTAAGTTCAGTGACAAAAACTACATAAAAGACAAAAACTACATAATTAGTTATTAAAAATACACTGAAAATAATGGTTAACTACACAAATTTGAATAACACTATTTAGGAAGGATACAATCAAATAAAATGTTTAGTCACTAAGTGATTCATTTCAATAATATAGCTGTTATTAGATAAATACATGTCACTAGAGCCCACAAGTTATTTTGAAAGTTGCTGATGAACATGTGTCCACAGGATAGAAATATAAAAAAGAAGTGATACAAAATAAACACTGGAAATACACAAAAGTAAATGTACTCTAGAAAGAAATTTTCTAACTTAAAGGGATTAGATCATTAGCCAGCATGATGCACTGAGCTATTCCTATCAAGTTCTCAACGCATACTATAAATGGGCAAATAAAATTCATTTAAAGAACAGTTCAACAGAAAAATGTAGTATTGGATGAAGAAAAGAAACAAATATTTCCAATACACAAATATGCCAATCTAACAACACAAAAATTGCGAGACAGTAACTATCACCGAGAATGTCATTCATCCCAACATTCAATTCTTTCTCCACGCAATAAACCAAAAACAAATCTCTTTAAAATAGTTTAACAACTTTTTTTATTCACATGTACTCATTTTTCAAATATCTTCAATTATTTCCCACATGTATCATAAAACTTTCAGAGTTCAACCACAAAAATTTTTTAAGTTCAATTCTTTGGGAGACATTCATCAGAGCGACTATCCATAAACTGTCCCATACACCATTTTCTATCTTTACATATACTTAAAAAAATTAATTCACAATTTTTATAAAACTGTGTAGAAATATCTGGATGTACTGAAAGCTTTAAAACCGATTCCTGATGATGATTTTATTATGTAAATTCATTCTCATAGTTTAGTTTAAAATATTATTTAATTTTCCACATCATTCTATAAAACTTGTGAAAAGGTAGGTCTCAGTCAGCTCATGTATTCCATGTGGTGTAAAGGGACCTTCAAAATAAGCAGTGTAGTGAAAACATGCATTTGCAATTCAGAAGACACAGAGGAATTGTTAACCATAACGAAATTAATTTTCCAACAATGGAGTAAGCTATTCCAAAATTACACAATAAAATCAAGCTTATTCTAGAAACTTTTCCATGATCATCAAAATTTAGGAAAATAAATAACAATGCAGGGTATTGCCCTGATTTGGAGAATGCAAGGCCTGCCATGCATTTGTGATTACACTTTTTTTTTTGTAATTATTGTTGTTGTTGTTGTTGTTGAAAGAATGCAAAAATTTTATTTCAAACGAATTTTCACACACCATTGTTCTCAGACTGGTTAACTTAAACACCTCTGTCCTTGTGAAATCAGGAAAGGAAACGCCTTTGCGCTAAGCCACATGTAATTCGCGTAAGCGCTAGAGGTTTATGAAAAGGATATTGGATAAATAAAAATAAATGGAGTATCATATACAAACAATTTAAAACAGAAAGTATTCAAAGAAATAAAAACATAGAACTGCAACATATTAATTTTCCAGAAACAGCTGCCACTGTATATGATACTCCCAGCAAAATGATATCATTGCCTTTTGCTAATCAGGTATTCGCAGAGGTGCAGGACAGCAGCGGTTAATGCAATGCGCAGATCAGACTAGAAATTATTCCTAAGAAACTCTTCCTTCAGGTAAGGCTCCTTATGAGAAGCATCATTACCATTAGGAAGACAAGTAAACAATTAAAAACATTGCAATTCAAGATCTGAAAGAAAACTGCAAGATGTTATATGCTAAAAAGAACTGGCTCATTTCCAGGTGAAAAAACATCACTGATATGAAAAAAAATTAAAATTAGTCTCAACAAGCACAACTTCCTCACAACGTCAGAAAGTTGTGTTAATTATTTTCTCAAACAATAATTACGCAAAAGTAATTACATATTAATTATGTTCCTGCATGTGAAAAAAGCCAGTTTATTAATAGTGAAAATGATATCTATCTTCCAGGTTTCCTAGAAAAGAACGTGACTTGTAGGCTGTGTTGATATCATCCGAAGTCCGTGGCTCAATTGATACTGTAGGGTAGTGAATGGAAAAAATGCATAATCGCTGAAGCGCACATGTGGCTTTGCCCTAATAAAACTAAAATTAGAAATATTTGCCTCTGAAGGTGGTTTTGCAATAGCAGTTTCAATAAAGGCAGCATTCTCAGACCACGGTAAGAATTTATATTCTGCATTTACAACGAAAAAGAAGAAACATCGAAACACAGCAACTTAACTATTGCAACACCACAAAAGAAACAAAAGGCATGAGAGTTAGGGGAAATAAATGCTCGTGATAGAAGTACTTGCTAAATTACATGAGGAAAATCACATATCAAGGAGAGAAAATACCCCGTACATGTGTAGCTGCCCAGTGTGAAGCTGGCCATCATCTGAGGGAAGTGACCACTCGCTGAGAAAGAACACAAAACAGAAGTTAGCATTAGATGAGAAAGCACTCATTGCATCCACCCTGAAATGCATGTTAATGATGAGCTGAAATATTCCATTCACATTTTCTTTCTCCTTTTGTTTTTAATTTTCCCTCTAATTTCCATTGGAATTTACAGTGGCAGAATCTTATCAACATAAACAGAGAATGAGACTAAAACTAAAACCTTTTTTAAATATTCCATTAGAAATATATCTTCAAATAACCCAACCAGTGTATAAGTGATATCGAACTGTTCCAAAAGAAAAGGAATATGAGATACTTTTTCAATTTACTTTGAGAAATATTGCATACACCCAAAAATTGTTGAAGTTCTTAAATGTATTTGTAATGATATACACTAGATTCACATTCAATATCTAATGAAAAGCATGCACCTTTGAACATTACAATCATTGTGCACACACGACTAATATTACATACCCAAAAATCCTGCCCCTGCAAATACAATAACATTTCCTGAATCAAAGACATCAAAAAACTGTTTG